TTGGCCCGTTTCTTCAATAGCGCTTCCAGGAGTGCTATCGAAATCCTCTCTCTCACGATGGCGGTGCTTTTACGAATAGTTGATAATGGCCAAAAGAGAGTCGCCGCCGCAAATCGAGCATTAAGCTTCGAGCCGCGAGGTGTATTCTATCATGTCAACACTATCAAGCTTACCAGCTTACATCTTAACCCCGCTATTTTGCGAATCCGAAAGTAGCAGGTCGGACATATTTTTTGGTTCCATTCGTAAAAAATTTCAGCAAAAAATGTATATTAAGTTTAACCTATTATTATCGATATTATCTTGCGGTTATTTCAAGCTGTATAAGTAGTACAAACTTATAATAAGAGGGACAAAAGACAGGTCGCGGAAATAGGATTTTTTTCAACATACGGAAGTATTAAAATTTGTGTGAATATGCAATAAAATTTATATCAAATTCTATATATCAATATTCTACACACATATGCGGTTATTCTAAGCTAAGTAGTATAAACTTATAATAACACGGACAAGAGATAGGTCGCGGAAACAGAATTTTTTTCAACGTACAGAAATGTTAAATTGTTTTTAAATATACAATTAAATTTATATAAAATTCTATATATCAATATTATACAAACATATAATGCAGTTCCTCCAAACTAAGTAGTACAAACTTATAATAACACGGACAAGAGACAGGTCGCGGAAATAGGATTTTTTTCAACATACGGAAGTATTACAATTTGTGTGAATATGCAATAAAATTTATATCAAATTCTATATATCAATATTCTACACACATATGCGGTTATTCTAAGCTAAGTAGTACAAACTTATAATAACACGGACAAGAGATAGGTCGCGGAAACAGAATTTTTTTCAACGTACAGAAATGTTAAATGTTTTTAAATATACAATTAAATTTATATAAAATTCTATATATCAATATTATACAAACATATAATGCAGTTCTTCCAAACTAAGTAGTACAAACTTATAATAACACGGACAAGAGACAGGTCGCGGAAATAGGATTTTTTTCAACATACGGAAGTATTAAAATTTGTGTGAATATGCAATAAAATTTATATCAAATTCTATATATCAATATTCTACACACATATGCGGTTATTCTAAGCTAAGTAGTATAAACTTATAATAACACGGACAAGAGATAGGTCGCGGAAACAGAATTTTTTTCAACGTACAGAAATGTTAAATTGTTTTTGAATATACAATTAAATTTATATAAAATTCTATATATCAATATTATACAAACATATAATGCAGTTCTTCCAAACTAAGTAGTACAAACTTATAATAACACGGACAAGAGACAGGTCGCGGAAATAGGATTTTTTTCAACATACGGAAGTATTAAAATTTGTGTGAATATGCAATAAAATTTATATCAAATTCTATATATCAATATTCTACACACATATGCGGTTATTCTAAGCTAAGTAGTATAAACTTATAATAACACGGACAAGAGATAGGTCGCGGAAACAGAATTTTTTTCAACGTACAGAAATGTTAAAATGTTTTTAAATATACAATTAAATTTATATAAAATTCTATATATCAATATTATACAAACATATAATGCAGTTCCTCCAAACTAAGTAGTACAAACTTATAATAACACGGACAAGAGACAGGTCGCGGAAATAGGATTTTTTTCAACATACGGAAGTATTAAAATTTGTGTGAATATGCAATAAAATTTATATCAAATTCTATATATCAATATTCTACACACATATGCGGTTATTCTAAGCTAAGTAGTATAAACTTATAATAACACGGACAAGAGATAGGTCGCGGAAACAGAATTTTTTTCAACGTACAGAAATGTTAAATTGTTTTTGAATATACAATTAAATTTATATAAAATTCTATATATCAATATTATACAAACATATAATGCAGTTCTTCCAAACTAAGTAGTACAAACTTATAATAACACGGACAAGAGACAGGTCGCGGAAATAGGATTTTTTTCAACATACGGAAGTATTAAAATTTGTGTGAATATGCAATAAAATTTATATCAAATTCTATATATCAATATTCTACACACATATGCGGTTATTCTAAGCTAAGTAGTATAAACTTATAATAACACGGACAAGAGATAGGTCGCGGAAACAGAATTTTTTTCAACGTACAGAAATGTTAAATTGTTTTTGAATATACAATTAAATTTATATAAAATTCTATATATCAATATTATACAAACATATAATGCAGTTCTTCCAAACTAAGTAGTACAAACTTATAATAACACGGACAAGAGACAGGTCGCGGAAATAGGATTTTTTTCAACATACGGAAGTATTAAAATTTGTGTGAATATGCAATAAAATTTATATCAAATTCTATATATCAATATTCTACACACATATGCGGTTATTCTAAGCTAAGTAGTATAAACTTATAATAACACGGACAAGAGATAGGTCGCGGAAACAGAATTTTTTTTCAACGTACAGAAATGTTAAAATGTTTTTAAATATACAATTAAATTTATATAAAATTTTATATATCAATATATTATACAAACATATAATGCAGTTCCTCCAAACTAAGTAGTACAAACTTATAATAACACGGACAAGAGACAGGTCGCGGAAATAGGATTTTTTTCAGCATACGGAAGTATTAAAATTTGTGTGAATATGCAATAAAATTTATATAAAATTCTATATATCAATATTCTACACACAACATATGCGGTTATTCTAAGCTAAGTAGTACAAACTTATAATAAGACGGTCAAGAGATAGGTCGCGGAAACAGAATTTTTTTTCAACATACAGAAATGTTAAAATGTTTTTAAATATACAATTAAATTTATATAAAATTCTATATATCAATATTATACAAACATATAATGCAGTTTCTCCAAACTAAGTAGTACAAACTTATAATAATACGGACAAGAGATAGGTCGCAGAAACAGAATTTTTTTTCAACGTACAGAAATGTTAAATTGTTTTTGAATATACAATGAAATTTATATAAAATTCTATATATCAATATTATACAAACATATAATGCAGTTCCTCCAAACTAAGTAGTATAAACTTATAATAACACGGACAAGAGACAGGTCGCGGAAACAGAATTTTTTTTCAACGTACAGAAATGTTAAAATGTTTTTAAATATACAATGAAATTTATATAAAATTTTATATATCAATATATTATACAAACATATAATGCAGTTCCTTCAAACTAAGTAGTACAAACTTATAATAACACGGACAAGAGACAGGTCGCGGAAATAGAATTTTTTTCAACATACGGAAGTATTAAAATTTGTGTGAATATGCAATAAAATTTATATAAAATTCTATATATCAATATTCTATTCACAACATATGCGGTTATTCTAAGCTAAGTAGTACAAACTTATAATAACACGGACAAGAGATAGGTCGCGGAAACAGAATTTTTTTTCAACATACATAAATGTTAAAATGTTTTTAAATATACAATGAAATTTATATAAAATTCTATATATCAATATATTATACAAGCATATAATGCAGTTCCTCCAAACTAAGTAGTACAAACTTATAATAACACGGACAAGAAATATAGACCGCGGAAATAGGATGTAAGCTTAATAGCTTACCCCGCTATTTTGCGAATCCAAAAATAGAGAGTCCGACACATTGTTTTGGTTTCATTCGTAAAAATTTGGGCAAAAAATTGATATTAAGTTTAACCTATTATTATATCGATATTATGGGCGGTGAAATTTATTTTTCCAAACAAACGAATAGAAGCGGTCAAAGCAATAAAAGCAATTACGATGCGAATCGAAAACGCGATGATATCACTCGATTTTCTATCGATAACCACGGATGTTAAAAAATTCCCGTAGGATTTAAAGAGCTAAAATATACATTTTGAAGAGACCCTCGAGAGAATCACATTCGCGCAAACAATACAACTGTTAAGTGAACATCATTAAGAGCTTTCCCATCAATTCTTTGTCTAGCGGGGGATGGTTTTACCCTGTGCGGAGAGAGAAAGAGATAGGGAGAAAGAGAGAGAGAGAGAGAGTCGTTCTCGCAGAATAAAACTTTGAGATGTATATCGAGCTAAAGCTACGGCCGCGCGCTGAAAGCGAGTCTAGCGTGTAAAACGCCTGAAACTTCGAAAGCACGTTTAGCGCTCCGAGCGTCAAACTCAAATTCATTTAATTTTGTTGCTCCAGACAGTTTAAACATAGGAGCGCGCAGTGTCAGGCCGCAACCGTGCTTCACCATTATCTTGTAACACGCTTCGAAACGCTAAATGCGCTTTCGAAGTTTCAAATGCTTTACACGCTAGACTCACGCTTTCTGCGCCCGCGCGCACGCTTTAAGAGCACACGATGTACAGATTTAAACGCTCTTAATGCCAGTTGAGTGCCGTTGACAGTCTGTTAGTTTTGCATGCAAAGACTTTGTCAATATCGTCCCTGTACTTTCACAGAGGATTTAAGAAACATTAGAAAGTTCGCACAACAGTTGTTTCAAGAATCCCTGGCTGTACTTGAATTATTTAGAAGAAAAAATTAATTTATAATTATCCTGCAATCCGTAGATGGAAAGTAGCAAGTCTACAAAACTTTGAATCATATAAGGATCGACAATGCATTTTCCATTATACATGATATATTCATATATTATTATTAAAGAAATTAATTTGGAATATTATTTATAAATAAAACCAAAAGAATTATTTAATTTTTATTCATGAAATTTCCTTATAATCAATATTTATAATACATATTATATACATCTCTCTATCCAGAAATTAAAATAATATATTCCAAATGATTTAATTTTATTATATGATGCATATTAATAGGCAAAGTGTCTAAATTGCACACAATGCTCCAATACATTGTCGGCCAAGAATGCATGTGAAATTCATCTCGTCGCTTAAGCGATTTCGCTAACGAACTGTTGTAGGTCTCAATGATTTGAAAGACCTATTTTTTTCGCGTGTTTCAGTGGAAGAGCTGGAGTGCCTGGCCACCTGGAAGGAGGGCAGCAGCCGTTACTTGGTCGGCCGCCTGCATCACGGCCACGCGTCCAGTAACGAGGATCGATACCGATGCTTCGTGTACGAAAAGGCCGGCCAGACGGTACAGGGTAACCTGAACAGGGCCGCCATGGGCATGGGCGCCATGGATCACGAGGTCGCCCTGCCGGGCGGACCGGTGCCCGAGGGCTCGGCCGAGGTATACCGGGTGGCGCAGAGCGGCGACGCCACGTGCAACGGTCTGTTCAGTCCCATGGAGGGTTCCCGGACGATGACGTTGAAGAAAGGTGAGTGCGAGAATGTGTCTGTTTATCCATCAGTTTATTTCATTCATAACGACGACATTTTTATTCACATTATTTTTTACTCTCCACAAACGTGCATTGAAAAAAAAGATTTGTTAATTTGACTAAACCTTTCAATTAAATTACTATTTTGTTAATTCAACGTATATTAATATTTCAGTCAAATATACGTTTTGTTTAATTTAATATATTATATTTAATTTAAATATTTTTAAGTTCAATTAACAAAATAATATTTAGTTGAAAATTTTAGTTAACAAATTTTTTTCAATGTGATTATTGAGCTACTGCTTTTTTACGATGTAAAATTGATGATAATTGATAAAATAATGATGCATAATGGAGATTGTTTTTTTTTTTTGCTTAATTTAGACATTAACCCGACGTGTTTGTGCGATCCGATTAAATCGAAAAATGTTCGAGTGATGTGTAAAATAAAAGTCGTCGTTTATTTAGTTGATCCATTTCAATTTAATTTAAAATTATCGTTCTCTGGAGTGGGTTATTTTTTAAAATTTAATTCATTGTTTTAACTTATGGATGCCTCGTTAAAGATAAATGTTTAGCAAATTATGTCACGCTGAGATACGTCGATGAAATCAGGCATGAATCAATAACAGATATGAGTATATAAAGTATCATTATACATTAAAATTCCGATCGCTGCTGAATAATTCTGGCCGCGATGTTCCAAGATTTCGCGTGGCGCAAGATAATAGATATTTTTAGCGGGTGAAAAAGTTATGGCAGTTAAAAAATGTTTAATTATCATGAGATATCGCGTGGTAATAAATCGTATCAGCGGATCGTGTCTCCCATCTCCAGTCGTACGATTCATCATCGTTAAAATTTTTTCATTTGCACCGCTCTCGTGGATTTTAATTATTACAGTGTAAATACGTGCTTGACGAGGATTCCCATCGGGCCACGGACGTTTCAATTTATCGTTATTTTCTAGCTGGCCGGATTTTTGAAATTTTTTTACGACCCGTACGCGAGCAGACGACGCGACGTTACATTTCTGATGCTGTTTGTATAACGCCGTTTCCACGTTCCTCAATGGAAAACATCTTAAGTGGAATGCCGGCAAAACGCACGTACATCCGCACACTTAACAATTATTAAATTATAGCCGACACAAAATGCTACGAGCTCAAATTCTACGAGCGCGCCATGCGATAGCGGTAATGTGAATGTATACTTTAAAGAATTGCTAATCAGCGTACGCGGGTTTCCTTTTTTTATTCCATGAATAAGAAGAGCGTGTTTGCACGACGTCTGGCAAAAGAGTGACGGGGGAGTGAGAGGGAAGAAGGAGGGGGGAGAGAAAAGGAAACGAAAAGGTCTCTCCCTACCTTCTCTCCCTTTTGCACCGCGTGCGCATTTCCGTCTTACTCGCTTTTCATCTCGCGGCTCGCAATCCCATTTCGCTCTCCGTTAATGGATTCATATATAATTACCGGGGCTTCACGCTCGCGCATTACGCTTGATAAATATCATTGCGAAAGGAAAGATATGAAATTCTCCGGGCAATGAAAGCGGACTTTAATCGGAGCGCTATGGAGCCGCGTCGATCGTAAGTAACCCGCCTCCTGCCGTTTCGAGCCGCGTGCATTTTTCCCGCGATTTCCAGGAACGGTGGGTGGACTTTTCAGCTTGCACCCGGAGGAGGATAAATAACGTCGGATTAAACATCTCTCTCTCTCTCTCTCTCTCCTTCGCGGCGGCGCTCCGAAATCTTTTTCATCCAAAATGTATACACGAATAGTCGTATAAATATCTCGCGTTTTTCCTTTCTGTAATTTCACCCTTCCGATCCGAAAAGGATCACGATAGGTATTCGGGATAATGAATGACCCTGGATGTTATCGTGATATTCGCCGAAATTATTCGAACGGGGAATAAAAGCGTGTAGCGGTGATGAAAAGAGTTTCGGACTATTGTCGCTTATATCGGACGGGTGATCACTGAAATCGGGCCGCTCGGCTGACCAATGCTACTTTCTATCCCTGATTAGCCGCTAGACTCGCGGAAAAGTATCACTTTTTCATTATTATTGTATATGTACATAATTGCATATTATATGTGAGTGAAATATGACTCGTTCGAGCGAGATTTGTTAAATAATTTTGTCAAAATTCATATATATATATATGATGTATGAAATAATAAAGTTTTCTGTTTTTTCCTCAATTTTAAACAAATTGAAAGTTTTATACATCGCATGCGAATAATATTTTATTTCTTCATAAAAATAGTTTGTTACTTAAATATTCGTGAATAAAATTAAAAAAAATTGTCGTAAGAAATGATAACACTGCTATTATTTGCGCGATAAAATTTATGTGGCGTGATAAAAAAATATCCGCGAAGATAAAATACGAGCCGGTGACGATAAATCGCAAAATAAACCTTTTCATTGCTCTCTTCGGGCTTACTTATATGTGTGTGTATGTGCGTGTGCTCGGAACAAATTGTTTTCTGGTGAGACGAAACTGCCACTCTTCGTCAACGAACGCATTAATCGAATGTATATATCGCCGACTTGGCTGCGCGCGAATAAAAAGGGAATATTTACACGACTTTTTTCGCGCGCTCGCATTCTTTTCCTTCCGTCTTAACCTTTCCTTCCCTCTGGAGCTTGACGTCTCTGTCTCTCACTGCCGCGTACCGTCTCTCGAGTTTGCAAACCCGTATCTTGCTCTGCGCAGTTTCACGACAAACTTCGTTAACGGATTTCACTCCGGTGGATTTTCACGATCTTCTCCGGCGCATTCGTCCTCTCCTCTTTGCAGCACGCTCATCGCGCGTCTCTCCAATTGCCACTTTCTTTGGCAAATCGTTTTAAGTCGAGTGGGAGTCACCGACACGCGCATAAAACTTGTCGAAGGCAAGAAAAAGCGAGAACGAGGGGAAGGAAAGAAAGAGAGTCTCTTAGGAACCTGAAGACACAGAGAGAGAGAGAGAGAGAGTCTTGTGGAGGATGCTTGTTGTAGGGCTTTCGGCGTCGTTAATATTGCAATCCGCGTTCTAGGAAAAAGCGCGAAGTAAAGGCAGAAGAGCGGACGCGGAAAAAATGTATTAACGTCGAATCTTTTCCTCTCTCTCTCCCGCTTTATTCTTCGGACCTTAGCCCAGTGTTTTCTCTTGTCCCACTTTGTCCAATTCGCGTAGATGGGTATATCACGCCCTCATCTTCCGACACTCGCGCGAGCCCCTATTAACCGCAATCTCACAGTCGAGATCCAAAGTTTGTTCAATTAGCTCGGCATCTACCTCGCCAGAGTAAATATCTGGGGAAAACTGCGAGACTGCATCGCGAGATACTTGCACAGTTGGTTGGCGAGTCAAACAGTTGGGCAAACGGAAGGACAAATTGCGCCAAATACTCGACCGCAAAATTTCGAGAACAACGTTATTCCGGATTGTCGTGGCGAGAAAATAATCCTATCGATATTTCGCAAAGCTTTCTCGATAATCCAAGTTTTACAGCAAATTAAAGAGAGAATCGTAAATATGTATATTGACTCGTGTCATTATTTTCAATCAGCAATTAACAGTTTGAAAAATGTTAACATATCGGGAAAATGTTTAAAAAACTGTATGATTTTACAGTCACATATTGTAGGTTAATTATACAAGATGGAAATATTGGAAGAAAAAATGGAAAAACAATGACGATCATATATCCGTGATACTCTCTCGTCAACTTTTTCAAATAGATTGGAGTATAGATTTTTAAGAAACCTATATGAATAAAAAAAGTCGTTAACAGAGAAATGAGTACAGAGGCTTACGGGATGTAAATGTAAACCGAGTAAAAAATTTCGAAAAGGTCAGGGGAGCAGATCGAACGACACGTGTTATCCATTCGGTTTTACAATTATGCAATTTATATCCGCGTTTCTATTCTATCTCGGATTACCAACGCAGCCGAACCGCTTTAACCCAATTTGGTTACATCTGCAAAAGAATATTACGGATAATACAAACGTCGAACGTTTGTCAAACACGATTGCCAGTAATAAATGTAATATTCGCGCACATGTCGGAATCGACATAATTCCCTGCACGTGCGTACGCATATATACGTCCACTCAATTATTAATTCCTATATAAATTCATAATCATGACATCACGCGTATTTCACCGAATTACCGTCGCGTTATCTGCATTACAATTACTTGTAATTTTCTCAAAATTGCGCAATAGTTTGACTCGAAGCAGTTAAATTCATCCAACGATACACGCGAAACACCGACGTGCACCGGTGTGCCAAATTTAGAAACTTAATTTTCGGAAAAACAGTATTAAATAATTTTAACAGCCGATGGTGTGGTTTAATATCGCTGCGACGTGGCCTTTTAAACAATTACGACTGTAGACTAAACGATCGGTCGCGATGGCACGTTCGATATGAAAATCGCGAAATTGAAATACCACTCTCGCGATTTTGTGGAAAAAAACGAGTTAGCCGAAAATGCGAGAACGGATAACGTCACTGCGAGAAAAAAAAAAACGTATAGAACGCAGAAATAACGCGAATCTAGGACATTATTATTACGTCACAAGTTTCGCTGTATTACCTCGTCAAAGCGACGTCTATATTTTATCTGCAATTAATGTAAAAAGAACGAAATTGGAACAGTGCAATATGCAATTTGTGTTTGTAGTATAAATCATTTAATGGAAATTTAAATGATGCTGTTTCATCAAAGATATAGGTCACCAGTGCGCGCGCGATATTACGCGTAATACGCGTACAAGCTTTATGTATTTTTTTTTTTTTTTTTTTACGCAGTTTTGTTTGAAAATTTTATGTCACGTCACACACATACGTTTGCTAAATAAATAAATTGCATACAAGATCATAATTCATATTTAATGAAAAAAAAATACAGAAACCAATCAACGAACATCAATGAATAAAATAAAAATTAAAGACTAAATCGGGGCGCGAGTTTACATATAACTGAATCTCGGTCTAATTAATTTTCATATAAATGTGACAAATAAAAAGTCATACGCGACCCTTTTCCGCGTCCCTTTAAGAACAAGGGTGAAAAGATTTCGGTTCGACTTTTACGATGGCGGAATTTGTATCACGTTGTACGAACTTATCGGGGCGGATAGTTGAATTATTTTCATGCTTTTTGCCACGCGGCGTACAACGATGCCTTTTATGTAGACCATAAAACCGGCCGCGCGCACTCGGTTAACCCGTTCGGTCGAGCCCTTCCGCCCCTCGACCGTATCCTCTCGCCATGGATGTAACACTCGACGCCGCGCCGGATCGAACCGATACGATGCGATGCGATGCTCTCTCTCTCTCTCCTGACGCTCCGATTTTACATGCCGCGACCGGAAGTGGAACGCCCCGGCGAACCGGCATGACTCGGGGGAGTGCATCGGTCGCATAGTGCATCGCGCTACGCGTGCGAAAGGGATGAAACCGAAGCGGAAGGGAAAAGGGCCGGGAGATAGAGAGAAAGAGAGAGAGAGACCGGGGATTGGTTGCATTCGCGGGGCGAGTATTTTGCGATTCTGTCTCGCTATCGAGTATCGAGGTCGTCGCTTTATCGACTGTCATTTCGCGCGATACGAAGGACTTTACGGTGGACGGCCGTGGAATTTTTGAGTATCGTATCACCCGGCCGGTACGCCGTAACCGCGCATGTATGTATGTCGCTATCGTCGATCCTGCGGCATTTACGGCCAACAAACTCGTACATACTTGTGCTGGGACGCGTAACGGTGACCTTATTACAATTATTTCAGAATTAATCATTTTACAAAGGGAAGGAGAACTCGCGAAAACTCGATCGTCAATTCATTAACGAGGAAATCTAATTCTATAGTGTAGAAGCTAATTATCTTCTCGATTAATAATAAATAATTATTTATAATCGATAACTATAGAGAACAATAAGGAATTTGTTCTGCTCGCTTGAGAGAAAAATGTAATTTGAAAATTACGACTATCGTCGAGCACTTTGAATAGATGCAAGAATGCGTTAATTACACGTACGACGTGTGTGTTTCTGATTTTAGTCTCGTCTCCGGGCGAATGTCGATTCCCGAATTGGCTGACCGGACACTCTAGTGGCGGACTGACTTGGCACACTCTAGACCTCGGCAGATCTTACACGTTTCATCCGCGAAACGCTTCCCTGCACGTCGCTCGACAGAATGCGACTTCGTCAGGCTTCGAGAGCGGGTCCCTGGACTTACAATACGTGCCAGGACCGGATGATCAGGACGTGAAGATCCTTTGCAACAGCATAAAGCAGTCGAACGGCGCGCAGACTATGACGATGACGATGCTGGTAGCGCATTTCACTGTCGGCTGGTAAGTCATTTTTTTTTTTTGAATACAGAGACGCGTTTTATAGAGTTTATGTCACTGAAAAAAAATTGTAAACTGGACTTTTCAACTAAATTATTATATTTTGTTAATTGAATATATATATATTGATATTTAAGCCAAGTATATATACGGTTTGTTAGATTTAATATGTTATATTGAATTGAAGTATTTTTATATGTCCAATTAACAAAATTAATATTTAGTTGAATGATTTGGTGATGTTAACAAATTTGTTTCAGTATACATATATCTCTAAATATTTCTATATATAAAAAATAAAAATTATTAATTCTCAATCTACGAAATATGCGTTGTACGAGAGATATTCGTTGGATATAGAGAGTTGAATTAAAACTATAAAAAATACCGTGATAATATCTCTATAATTCTCTGTAATACATATTCTGGTAATAATGAGAATTTCAGCATACATCGCGTATCCTTTCGAATAATAACGAATGCGATTAAAATGATGGAATATGTCCCTCTCTCCGACCTTTATAAAATTTCACGCTCTTCCTTTTTCCAGTCGGAGCGGTTTTATGTGCATGACATTCTACCGAAGAGACGGCCACGTGATCGAGCTGCAGACTGGAAGTGAAGTATCTAGACCGGAAGAAGCATGCAGCCCACCCCATTTTCTGCAGCACAGTATGCCCTTCCTCACCTTAGTCAGTGAGTACAATTCTTTTTCATTCGATGTATATAGCTTGCGCTTTTCCATTTGTCTCGTCAACAAAGTTCAGTCTCGTGTTACTGAAACGCCACGATGCACCTTTTAACGTTTCAACGTAAATGTATTGCGATCTTCTGCGATCTCGTATAGAAATTGCCTCGACATCGAATTTCACCGAGGCTCTCTTATAGAAAACGCTTTTGACTCTAGATTATTATTAGACTCTTTTGAATCAGTGAAAAAAAAGCTAAAATGATAAAACCGTATTATCCCTTTATCATTTAAACGCGATCATGAATTCTACTCGCGCCTTGCATAAAATTCAACGATATTTGCAAGATACGAATACGAGGTTATTATTTCAAGTTATAGATAGGCTATTAATGAAGCAGTTGATATAAGCTATCGGATTAACGTAACCGGCTAAACCTTATCGTCGTACGCGAGAGCTTCCGCTCGCGATATCTCGTATCGATTCGAACCTCTCTCTCGGGCGAGCAATGCGACGCAGCCGCTCATTACGCTTGATTTGCGTGGCCGTTGGGTTTTATCCGATCCACGTAAAGACGTGCGGGGGAGCGAATCACACCTGGGATGGTGGACGGGAAGAGGAAAAGGGGATCGGATTGCACGGGAGGAATGGGGAAGGAAAAAAAGAGTTGCCAAGTAAAAACTACCCGCACCGCGCCGATAAACCCCGGGAAAACTCCCAACTTCGGGCGAGGAAAAAGTTTTCGCGCGGCGTGGCACGAGGATTTAGTGCACCGGCACTGGGAAGGCGGCTGGGAAAGAAGGAACGAAGTGACGGGACGTCGAGGGTTGGGGGCAAAATAAAAAGTAGGAGGGAAAAAAAAAAAAAAAAAAGAAAACGGAGAGAAAATCGGGAACTGGTCGGTCTCGGACTATTTGTCAAAATCCCGCGAACGACTTATAAGTTACACCGTTCTATCGGTCTAGAAGACCTCGGCTGGAATCGGCTAAGTCGTTCGCTCACGCCGCCTCGCGTGTTCGAGCGATTCCGCCGCGAAGCGCCTCGAGAAATTCAATTTGCCGGGGAACGTTTTGCGAGGCGCGTCACGGAAACCCGTTGAACCTGACAAGCTCGTGATTGAACAGCGTATTTTCTTATCATTTAGCGGAGGCGGTGACTCGACTCGTATGCCGCCGTTTGTCCCGCGCGATCCGATCGCTCGAGGGCCCGATCGTGTCCGATATATAAAAAGCGCCGGCAATTATTGCGACCGCTGCGGATTAATATTGGTTACGTGTCCGAGTAACGTATTTTCTCTCTCTCTTTCTCTTTGTTTTTCTGCAGCCGCGCGGGCCGATCCACCCGTTATATATCAGCTGATACAAATGCAGCCCGCGCCGTTCTGTACATTCCGCTCTCGAGCTCGGCAAAATATCGTCTCTGCCGTTTGTGCCGCGAAAGAAGAAAGCTGCCAACCTCTCTACTTTTCTCTTCCGGACGATCCACCTTTCTAAACTTACCCTCTCCTCCCGCGAACGTCTCCACTTCGCTCTTTCTATCCCACGTCTCGTATTCGCCATTTCTTCGGGATACGATCGGTTCCCGTGGGCCAGAGTTGTAATCCCACGGGAGTTATTGGATTCGGTTTGATCCACTGGTCTTTCGTCCTCCCACTCCCGTATTTTTCTCCCTTTCTCTCTCTCTGCCTTTTTAAAGATCCTTCGTTTCCTCCTTTATTCCACGATCTGCCGATTCGCGCGGAACGAAAAACTGCAATCCTCATGCGAGGATCAAGAAGTCATTGTAGTTTAGGCGAAGCTTGGAAATGAATTGGTCCCACTGAGAAAAAGTACGCTGCTGATTTGACAATGACGATGTTAATATGTTATAACAGCAACGTTTCATCAATAAGAATTTCAATGAATAATCGGTTTACTTGCGATTTCGCGATAAATGATGCAAAATTAGAATGGAATATTAATTATCGCCGCAAAATTAATGCATCAAGCTTATTGGATTTTGAAATCACCGACGATAATTAATGAGCTGTAATATTCGGCTATACATATATATATATACACATATATATATATATATATATACACACATATATATATATATATAGGTATATATGTATATGCGAGCGCATGAAAAATCGAATAGTCATTTTAATTGACGAATATTAGCGAATAATACAACTGATATTTTGAGATTCGATACACAGATTGCATTTTAATTTCGCATACTAGAATTTGTTTCTGCTTAGAAACACAAATAAAACAATATATTACTCTGTCTCTTCATTAGCTCTCAAATTCGCTTACCGTAATAACTTTTCAATAAAGCGTGAAAATCGCTTAACGTTCGAAATTGTCTAAATTGATTACAATGCCGTTCGACGAAAGATCGCTTTGCGATGAATTATTTTTGAAATTAAAGAATGATGCGCTCGACTTGACCTGCCTGTCTACCATCTTATCGCCCACGAGAGTGTATCTTTCCGGCGGTACTTTCATAATTCAAGGGAAATATTGACTTCGATTTAATTCACTGCTCGTTCGCAGTTATCTCTCGTGGTTATCCTTCTCGGGATGGGAAAAAGCATCGAAAAGCTCGATCCGCCGCTTCGCAAGAAGCAAGGAGCTATTCTCTGGACTGAGTCACGTACGGATCTCTGGGGATCCGGGTACGAACGAAGGATAGTATTTATCATTCCACGCACGCGGCGTACAAAATTTACAATTCAAATGTAAAAAGAAGCAGCCTCTAGAGTTTCGTATTAAAGATTGCAATCGCAATCGCATAAACAATGACGCGGCGTAATATCGCGATAATACATATAAACAATAACCTAGTGCAAGGCACCGAGATATCATCTCTAAATTGTACAAATGTACGTATAATGTATGAAAATTTTAAACGTAGAAATTGCAGCAGAAGGTTGCTTTTCGTGGCAACGATACGGAATTTAACGTAAATACACGCGTTTCGGACATGTATTTGTAAAAAATCATTAAATCAAAATTTATTACTGAATTACAATAATAAAACGTATTTGCTGAATAATCTGACTTTCTTTTTTTTTCATTTCCGATCAAAACCAAAGTAAATTGTGCAATACAAAAGTACTAACAATAATAACTGGTCTCCTGTTGCATAACCAATTAATTCTATATATGCTCTCGGTGAATTTACTCCGCTTTATCATTCAATAGTGAATGAATGGCGAGTGATCAGTGTATAAAAATTCATTTCGAACCCTCTCACCGTACCAGTCAATATGCGGAGCGATTGATCATTCATTCACGGACGAAAGCTCTCCATCTTTCCTTTCTCTCTTTTCCTCTCCCGAATCCCGGCCAAAGCTCTACCATCTCGCCTTCATAAGCTACATAATGTCCAATGCCGCAATAAAGTAGATCGTCTACGAACTATCCATCTTTTTTCTTAGCTTGCGCTTTTCTCTCTTTCTCTCTCCTTCTACGTACTCCAAACGGGCTCCCCTCTAAACTTTTATGACCACTCACGGGGAGAATGGAGAACGACGAGGATGACAATAGAGTAACGACGACGGCGACGACATCGGTATTCCGTTGACGTCCGCGAATTACACCCCGAAGATAGACTCGCCGATGGCGCGCATCGAGAAATTTCCACGGGGGTTGTAGAAATTTATGGGAGAGAATGTCGCAACGGAGAGTCGCGATAAACACTAATGGTACGAATTGCTAATCGATGTGAAGTTTCGATAGAGAGAAATTGAGAAAGCGACATTCGGAATGGACTTTTGTAAATTACAGAATGTTATAAACGAATGTAATATTACAACACTACCGACAGAATGTATTTTTACAAAAACGTATAAAAACCTTGATTCATTTTTCGATAAATATTTCTCGATAATCTGAAAAGCTGAAATTGCGAACGAAGTGCGGCGGTGAAATCAGCTCTGTGTTAATCAAAATCGGAAAAACAGTGAGTTATATTATTTTCTGGAAATATAATTAAAATATAATAATTCGTACGAGCTATAAACTATTCAATTATTCTATATAATTAAAATAATGTTTATGCTTTGTAATGCAATAATTGCTTTTGATATTTACAATGCGCTAGAATAAAGATATAAAATATTTATTCTTTCTTTTTCAACGAGTCGTAACACACAGATTGCTTGTACAGTTGCATCACCGCGTAACAACGTTTGTTCAGCTAACCAAGTATTCAATAACGTGCGAGATCGCGTATGAACATTGAGCCTCGTCGATGGAAAGCTCGGGTAAATTGCGCGGACTAAACGAGGAGCTCGACTTAAGATTCCGACAGCGAGTAGAAATTTCGATTTTCGCGTGGTAAATGGCCGGGCGAACCGAGTCGCGAACTGGGTTAGCGAAACCGCTGTAACGGACTATGTAAGCGTACCTGAGACACCGGCCATAACGAGGTGGAATCCCCGAGCAATTAAGCCACTAGCACGCCAGGCGTTTCTCCCGGCTCGTCTTCTTCCGCCGCAACATCGCCCAGCCGGGTTACCAATGAGCTTCTCGCTCGGTAAATAAATAACAGACCATAATGCAATGAACCCGAATGCGAAGTTAATGGGGTAGAGTGAATTCATTCTGCCTGAGTTGTACCTATACTTGGATTTTTATCGCGCGCAAAACTTGACAATAAGTTTACTACATTTTATGTAAATTCATCTCGTCTTTAAACGTCAAAATATCATTCTAAATATATATGCGAGTGTATCTCGTTATAAAATAGGAAAGAAGATATTATATTTGGGAGAAGCGAAGAGATGTGAATAAATATTTATGCAACATGAGTAAATAATGTATACACGTTAACGTTTATGTTTTTTTTTTCTATATAAAAATATACGTATAATTTTTGATTGACATTAGTAAGGCATACAACGATGAGATAGTGATCGCTTATAGTTTCAACATTGTAAAAAAATTTCGCTCGCTATTGAAAGTTACACGAATACAAGGTACAACCCGTAAAGTTTTGACAATATCGTACAAT